GATCCCATATTGGGAATATTGGTCTGAGATGGGATCTGGGACTGGTAACGGATCGGTGTGGGTGTGGGAAGATTGGAATGGGACTGGGTTGATCTGGAACTGGGGATGCTGGTCTGGGACTGGGGAGGCTGATTTTGGGATTTATCAATCAGGGCTGAGGATGGATTGATTCCATATTGGGAATATTGGTCTGAGATGGGATCAGGGACTGGTAACGGACCAGTGTGGGTGTGGGAAGACTGCTCTGGGACTGGGGAAACTGGTAACAGATCCATGCGGGACTGGGACAGGTTAGCCCCGCCCCCTTCCGCCCAGGCCCCGCCCACTCCCACCCTGGCCCCGCCCCCTCCCGTCAGCTGATTTCGGGGAAAGCCGCGCTTTCAGAGAAAGTGCAGCGCGTGCCCCGCCGGAACGCTTCTCATTGGCCGGCGGGACACGGCGCCGTCTTCTCATTGGGTGGAGGGAGAAAGGGGCGTGGCCGGTGCTTGCGGCCAGAAAAGTGGGCGTGTCTGTGGGCGTGGCCTCCCGTCCGCGCTGCGATATAAGGGAGGGGCGGTGACAACCGCGGGCGGTGCACCGGGTGTGCGAAAACCGGGGAGAAGCGGGATCGGCCGGGGGACAGGTACCGGAATCTCCCGGGGGAGGGCGGGGATCGGCCGGGGGACAGGGATCGACCGGGAAAAGGGATCCACCGGGGGACAGAGATCGGCTGGGGGACAGGTACGGCATCCCCCGTGGGAGGGCAGGGATCGACCGGGGAAGAGGGATCGGCCGGGGGACAGGGATCGGCCGGGGAAAATGGATCGACCAGGGGACGGGGATCGGCTGGGGGTCAGGGATCGACCGAGGGACAGGGATCTGCCGGGGGCCAAGTACCGGAATCTCCCGTGGGAGGGCGGGGATCGGCCGGGGGACGGGGATCGGCTGGGGGATAGGATTCGGCTGGGGGATAAGGATCGACCGGGGAAAAGGGATCGGCATCTCCCGTGGGAAGGCGGGGATCGGCCGTGGATCGGCCGGGGGRCGGGGATCGGTTGGGGGACAGGTACCGGCATCCYCCKTGGGAGGGCAGGGACCGGCGAGGGAACGGGACGGGTCAGCATCCTCCACCGGAGCGCATGGACCGGCACCGGCATCCTGTGTGAGAGGGCACCGGCACCGAGAGGGCACATCCCGAGCCCTACCCCGATTACCCCACGCCTCCGGGATGCGGGGAAGGGCAGGGAACTTGCGGGATCGCAGGGATGCGGGATGTCCCCAGCTCGGAGCGAGTCCTCCGGTGCTGCGGGAGGTGCTGTCCYGTCCCCGGTGCTCCAGGCAGAGCCCGGGATGGGCGGGTGGAGCCGCGGGGATGGATCGGTGCGGTGTTGCCGGTGGGGAGAGCTCCGTGACATTGTCCCGAGGGTGTGATTCACTCTCGGGGAGGGGAGATGGAGCTCCGGCCTCTGGTAGCGATGGGAGAAGCTTTCTAGAAAACRCGGGGATTTCGGAGTGTCCCGTTTCAGCGGGATTTCTGGGGTTTTCCCTTTGGGGTGACTCGGGTTTGGTGCAGGAGCTCCCAGAGAGGCTCTGTGTGCCTCTGATCCTCCAGGAAAGTGGCGTGTCCTTTGGGGCACCCAGCTGGCATCCAGAGCTGTGCCCTCTGTTGGTCCTCACTATCCCTAAAAACCAGGATTTGTGCCATCTCCTGTCCTGCTGGGCAGTGCAGAAGGGATGAAAGTTGGCACTGAGCTGCTGGGACAAAGCAGGGACTGCCGGGTCTCAGGCTGTGCTGGGAGAATCCTTGTTTTCTCCCCAAAATYTTCCAGTGAAAAACGAGTGAAGGAGAAGCAACACAGTAAAATTTGGAGCCCAAAATGCCTGGAAAGTTGACTCGGGGGCTGCTGGTCACTTCTGCCAGGCCACCAGCTCCTGCCATGCCATGGAGGGGACAGGGAGGGTTGAACCTGGCACTTTGCTTCCAGCAGTTTCATGTTCCTTATCCCTTTGAGGACCTGAGATGCAGTTTGGGGCTGCCATCTGCTCTCCAAATAACGAGAGGAGCTCCTGCCTGCTCTGGGACAAATCCTTGTGCCAGGGCAAGGGGTGTGTGCCCCGGGATGGCCTGCCCGGTGTCACTCGCTCAGGTGACAGCACAGCTGGGRGCTTCAATCCCCGTCCATCTGCTTCCTCCGTGATCTTATCCTGCAGCAAAATAGGAATAAACGGAGCTCTGAGTCAGCTGCTTCTGGGAGAGGAACTTTGGCAGGGCTGGAGGAAGAATTTGTAGTAACTCAGAAGRAAATTGCCTTGATTTTCTTTTTTTAATTTTTTTAATTTTAAAAGAAGCAGGGGGTGTGGTGGGGTGGGAATTACAGAATTGGGGAATCCCAGAAAGTTTTGGGTTGGAAGGGACCTTTGAGATCATCTCATTCTGCGGGCAAAATGCTGCAGGTGGTGCCGGTGCCAGATGAGTATGGAGCAAACCAGCCCAATCCCCGCTCCACAGATGCACTGGGATGGCACTGGGATGGAATGGGATGGAATGGGATGGAATGGGATGGAATGGGATGGAATGGGATGGAATGGGATGGAATGGGATGGAATGGGATGGAATGGGATGGAATGGCAAGGCTGACAGGGCGGCTGTGTCCCTCCCTGCAGGATGTGTGACCGCAGCGGTGGCCGGCGCCTGCGGCAGTGGCTGATCGAGCAGATCGACAGCGAGCTCTACCCGGGGCTCATCTGGGAGAACGAGGACAAGTCCATGTTCCGCATCCCGTGGAARCACGCYGGSAAGCAGGACTACAACCAGGAGGTGGATGCTTCCATCTTCAAGGTGGGGACAGGTGGCTTTTTTTTTTCGGTGATCCTGAGCTCTGTGGCGCTGCTTTTGTCCCTTGCTGTGACATATCCATGATTTCTGTGGTTTCTGCGTCTTTAACTCTTGCTGCAATTGGTCTCCCAGGCTTTTTKGGGGATGATTTATTCCTTTTTTTTAAAAGTTAGTACCACTTTTAAGTTTGTTTTCAGCAGGTCTGACATGAGAAGGAGCTGGATATGCTGCCTTTGACCTGCTCTAAACTTGTCAGCTTTTCTTGATAAAATGGTGGATTTATGTTAAAAAGACCCAAAAACCTGAAAAAAAACTTTGCAGGAAGGAAGGATTTCATTGAAAAGGGACATTTCCACTTTTGGGAAAAAATGGGACAATTCCATCCTTAGGCAAAAATACCATTTTTTCCCTGGAAATTCCCTTCCCTCTGCTCCCACTTCCAAATATCTGTACCTGTGAGGGATTTATTTTCAGGGCAATGACAACTGGTTTGGGAGCACTGAGTTATGAGGATGGCATTGAACTCAGCCATTTGRAAATACAGAAATATCTATAAAAGAAGTAAAAAAACCTCCCTTCAGGCTTAAAATATATTCTCTTACCAAAAGCACAAATTATGCTCTGATCTTAGAGAAACCAGTTTAATTCTTTATTCATTTATTAGCCAAGAGCTGGAAAAATAAGTTTTATTTTGATTTTTATTTGACCAGTGATTCCTCGTGTTCCCAGCAGCTCTCAACCTGTGGGTGCAGAGCTAAAGCCATATATGATAATTTTGACCTCTGCTTTTTGAAAACATAGATTTTAAAGGATTTTTCTGCATTTCTGGGGCTTTGCACCCCAAAAAGCCACCCCAGGTGTGCAGGTGGCCGCAGTCTAGGAGTGAAACAGCAAATCCCCAGGGGATGTGTTCGAGAGGCTGTGAGATGCAAAATGCTCCCTGCAGCCCCAGCTCTTCCTCCCTGGGCTTGAGAGGCTTTGTGGAGCTCACAGGGTGGATTTTCTTAGGTTTTTTTCCTCATTCTTTGCTGCAGGCCTGGGCTGTTTTCAAAGGCAAGTTCAAGGAAGGCGACAAAGCCGAGCCGGCCACGTGGAAGACRCGGCTCCGCTGCGCCCTCAACAAGAGCCCTGACTTCGAGGAGGTGACAGACAGGTCCCAGCTGGACATCTCCGAGCCCTACAAGGTCTATAGGATCGTGCCAGAGGAGGAGCAGAAATGTGAGTGCCCCAGTAAAGGCTGTGTGTCCATCCTGTGAGCACAGCCCCTGCTCTGTGCCC